TCTCAGTTTTTTTTTTCTTCCAGGTTTACTGAGATATAATTACACAGCACTGTAAAAGAATAAGGCATATAGCATAATGATTTGACTTATATACATTATGAAGTGATTATCTTAATAAGTTTAGTAAACATTGATCATCTATATAGGTATAAACTTAAATTGTTTTTCTTGTAATGGGAACTCTTAGCGTTTATTGTCTTAGCCACTTTCATTATCATGTTAGGAGGTCATAGTTGGCTGTTGCAATATTAATTTTTACACCATTTCTGGTTTCTGTCATAACTGTAGGATTGACTCCTAAAGCCTTTCTCAGGACAGCAGAAACTGTGATTAGAGACAACCCTTAAAAGAATTGTAAAGAAATACTTTTTGTGCAAACATTACATAAACATCAGAGGGACTAATTTTACTCCACTTTCAGGCTTATTTATAGAGTCGGGTGACTCAAACGAGAGCAAAATGGTCCAGTAGAGCTGCTTCTTTGACTCATGTCAGTGTATCTTCTCTGGGATTGCCTCCCCTCTTCACTCTCCTTTCTAGGCTGAGGTCCTGGCAAGTGCAGGAGCAGAAATAGTTCCTTGTGAAAGACTGACCACGTTTCTGTAGAGAGAGCTTTGCCCATGCACTGCAAGGTCATGTGGTTTCAGCTGCTGATACTGAATCATTTACAAATCCTGCTGCATCTGAGCCCAAGAGAATGGGTCCCTTCTAGTCCCATGGATTCCATCAGACATGCCATGTCTTCCAGAGGCTATCTTTCACTGCTTAAGCACCTAGTGACCTTTCATATTTCTGCTTCTTTTGGAACTAGGACTTATCTGCTGAGCAGTAATATCACTGATATTTTTCTGGATTAAAAAAAAATCAACCTGTTTCCCTCAGTGAGATTGTAATTATCTGCAGGGTAGGGATTGTCTCTTTTGCAGTGTCTACTGCAGATTCTATGCACCCAGTTCAGTGTGTTGTAGTGGAAAGACTCAGGAAGTACATTCATTGAATGGTTACTCTATGGACTGAAAGATACATCCAAGGTTGGAAGATCTAGATTTGAATCTGATCTCTGCTGCATGAAGGTGTGACAAATCATTTAATTTTCATGAGTTTATGTTTCCTTATATCTAAAATAGGGATGATAATATTTATCCTAAAGGCAGCTAATAGCTATTTCTCCCTTATATCTACTAGTGGGTTGTGCCCGTTGCTGTTTCTAAGTACTTTAAATGTATCTGCTCATTTTATGATCACACCAGCCTTAAGATGCTGATGCTATTTTTTGGGGGGGCAGATATGGAACCCCTTGGCACACAGGATCTTAGTTCCCCTACCAAGGATGGAACTCACATCCTCTGCAGTGGAAGCATGAAGTCTTAACCACTGTACTGCCAGTTAAGTCCCAAGATGTTGATGCTACTATTAATTCCATTTTACAGATGGATACACTGAGGTTCAGAAACGCTCAGAGATGTTAGGTAAGTTGTTGCGGGCCACACAATAAAGAGAAGAAGAGCAAATTTAAATCCAGGCAGTCTATCACCAGAAAACAACCTTTTTTTTTTTTTTAAGACTTTTAAAAATAATATTTCAAATTTGTTTTTATTGGCTGTGCTGAGTCTTCATTGCTGTGCAGGCTTTTCTCTAGTTGCGGCATGTGGGGGCTACTTTCAGGATGTCATGCTCAGGCTTCTCATTGTGGTGGCTCCTCTTGTTGTGAAGCACAGGCTCCAGGATGCAGGCTTCAGTAACTGAAGCTTGCAGGCTCTAGAGCAAAAGCTCAGTTGCTGTGGCATAGGGGCTTTGTCGCTCCACTGCATGTGGGATCTGCTCAGCTCACGGATCAGATCCCTTATCTCCTGCACTGGTGGGAGGATTCTTTACCACTGAGCCACTAGAGAAGCCTGAAAACAACACTTTTAACTACTATGTTATTGTGTTTGCATGGTTTACCAGCTCATGGTGGGTGAGGAGCAAATGAATCCATATATATGAAAAGCCCGCACACTGCAACTACAGTATGGCCCCTACTAGCCACAACTAGAAAAAACCTGAGTGCAGCAATGAAGACCTAGTGCAGCCAAAAATAAATTAATTAATTAAAAATTTTAAAAAATAATTAAAAAAAAAAAGAGATCTCCCACCCAACCGTTATCTATGCCTAGAAGTTTATTGTATCCTTTCTGGCTATGGCTGTTTTAAAAACCAAAATCTCCTTTAGTATTTGGATCCATAAAACTGCATTTTCTTATAAGACATTTTCCCCTCGAAATGTGAAAATCTTTTTTCCCAAATAAAAACACAATATGCTTTTTGAAAAAAAAAATAATAAAGATAATAGAAGTCCTCTATAATCCCACCATCCAAAGATAATCATTTTTTACATTTTAGTTTTATCCTTCAACTTCTCTGCATATACACACTTTTTTACTTCCCCGGTGACTCAGATGGTAAAGAATCTGTCTGCAATGTGGGAGTTCCGGGTTCAAACCCCGGGTCGGAAAGATCCCCTGGAGAAGGAAATGGCAACCCACTCCAGTAGTCTTGCCTGGACAGAGGAGCCTGGTGGGCTACAGTCTATGGGGTTGAAAAGAGTCGGACAGGACTGAGTGACTAACATTTTCACTTTTTTCACTTCATACTTTTTACAAGCTCATTTTATAATACCATTTTGTAATGTTTTTGAAAACCTGCCATACCATGCTCATAAAGATAGAGTTGGCGCTTCAGTTTTATCAGTAGCATGATATTCCACTTTATTGATTTGCTGTAATTTATCTGAAATTTGAGATTATGTTTGAATAGGTGGGGAATAAGTCTTCCCTGTCTTTAATAGCTAGCCACAGAGACCAAAGATCTCAGGAAAATAACTGTACTGTATGTTAGGTCAATTGCTTTTAATTTTCAGTTACATTAGGGGAGGAGTTTGATAATTATAAAGATCAATAGATATAAAAAAAAGTACATGAAGGGGTTTACATTTTATAATGTCTGTTATTTTCTCTTTAATGTTCTACCACTTGGCATGGTAGACTAGAAGCTCCTTCCTGTTTCTTAAGAAGATAAGTTTAACTTTCCTTTTGTGGTTTACAATGGGAAACACTTAAATTCAATTTCTAAGCAAATTTTTGTGACTTGCCAACAGAATGTTTTAGGTAACTGTTTTGCAGTCTGCAAACTCCTTACTTTCATGGGAGCTCCATACTGTACTTTAGCATGTGTTCATGCAGTGAAACAGTGAAATCTACTTTATGGCATCTTGGTGTTTTAGTTTTACATTTTGCTTCCTCTCCTGCGGCCCAGTGGTAAAAGAATCTGCCTGCAACGTAGGAGACTCCAGTTCGATTCCTGGGTGGGGAAGATCCCCTAGAGTAGGAAATGGCTACCCACTCCAGTATTCTTGCCTGGAAAATTTCATGGACAGAGGAGCCTGGTGGACTACAGTCCATGGGGTCCCAAAGAGTTGGACAGGACTGAGCTGCTGAGTTTCACACTTTACTTCCCTTGTGATCAAGAGCTGCACTGTGCATGAAGGGGATATGAGGCAACTAAATTCCATAAGCATTCAGCTCCCCAAATCATTTGCTCTGTTTATAGCACTCTGAGTGTGGGGGAGGGTGAGTGGGTGTGTACCAAAGAGAGGAACCCGAGAGGGGGAGGGGAGAGGGAGGGTCGTTTAGCAAGTTTGAGCTCCTCTGAGCCTCAGCCTCCTTCGTAAAACTAAGTTCCTTATGCTTGTCTAGTCTGACTCAGGAGGTTGTCTCAAGGGTCAAATTAGATTATATATGAAGATGGGATATCAATATTTAATAATAAAAAGTGATAATTACTATTATTAGGGCCTTGGCCTCCTTTTTTTTACAGCTATTTGGCATGCCCCAGTCGCTTAAGAACGAAATTGCACAGGCGGGGCTACTCAATTCAATTTTTCTTAACTTTTTTCAAATTCCCTGCATGAAAATGACTAAGGACAAAAAGTACGACCTCCTGCCTGTGACAGGTCCTAAACTGAAGATTTGTGGTTAGTTCTGTTCTCTTTGTCATCTAGCTAGGTGTTCTGCTTTATTCCCTCTTGGGAATACTTATTGCCATTTCATCTGAAGGAACAGTAGGTCACCTTTTCTTTGAAAGGGCAATGATATCTTGGCTCTTTTTATGTTCACATGGAAAATATTCGTGTCAGGTGTTAGTAATTATTTATCAAGCCAAGACCTGTATGGTTGGGCTGTCTTCAGCTCAGGTCATTGGTACATGGAGTTACAGTTGGAAAGCCCATTCTGGAATGGTTTTAGCTACCACTAGGACACATCTTCTCATTTTACAATGAAGAAATTGATACCCAGAGAGTCTAAATGTCTTGTTCAATGCCAAAGGTTGGCAGGTGATGGTGTGCTTGAAATCTATTCTTCTGTGACATCCTCTCTTATTTTTATAAAATGCGTTGCAAAGATGACATAAAACTTCAGAATCCAAGACTACTTGGAGCATGATCCTAAAGTTAACCTACAGAGAAAGCTAAGGTCTCAAAAATGATAGGTAAGAATTGAGGGTTCTGCTGGATTAGGAGCAGCTCGGCCAGGCTCAGTATTCTCCGCCTCTACCTGCCTCTCCTCCCCATTTCCTCCACTACCTTGCTAACCCCACCCTTTTCAGGTGGCCCCGCCACTTCCTGGTAGCCCAGCTCCCACCCCACCGCAGGCGGAACCAATGTCCGTGGGCTTTGGGGACAACCGGATCTTTCTCGTTCAGACTCTTCGCAGCGGTGACTCGGCAGCAGCGTCTCGCGTCATCAGTGACAGCCCCGAACCTTGCTACGCTTTGCGTCGCTCTTCCAGGAGCAGTCACCTCCTCCTTGGCAAATAGTCCTCGGTGGGGTCCGAGTTCTTGGATAATAGGAGAGGGGAAGCACAAGAAGTTGCAGTCTGGGGACGCGGGACCGAGAAGCAAAGAGAGATAGGGACCTGAGTTTCTGTGATCGTGTGCAAAGTTAGTTAAAAACTCCTTCCCACCTAAGATCCCTCCGCCTGCAGTAGCGGTGGTGAGGCCGAGGGAGCCGCCATTTTGGATGTTCGGTTCCTGCTGCCACTGCTGCCGCCGCCCCCGGAGCTGCTGGTTTCATTCGAGGTTTCGGGCCGGTGAGTGTCAGTCGCGGCGCTAGGAGAATACTTCTTGTTTTACTCTGCGCCTGCCGGGAGCGCTCGGCCGGAAGCTCCCTGTCTATCCCAGGGGTCCGGTCCCACATCGTGGAGGGTGAGAAGAGAGGACAGAGACTGGGCCAGGAGGGGCCGGGAGCACAGGGGTTGTTCCGACTTCTTGAGGGCCAACCCCGAGGCCTCAGACTCGGAGGCTCCGCACGCGGCTGCGTCCGTGTCATGGCGTTGCCCGGCCGGTGCGGGCCTCCTTGGACCCGTTGACTTTCTCAGGCTGCACTCCTCCTTTGAGGACTCATTCAGAGAGCCTGGGGTTAGCGGGGCGGGTCCCACCTCCGCGTGTCTTCTGCGTGCCACGTATCAGTGCTCTTGTATCTTGCATCCTAGTCAGGTCTTTCGTGAAACTCTCTTCTGTATTTCCAAATGCTCAGTTAGTTAATCGTTGTCTGCACCCGCATTGCCGTTCTCTTTGAACTGGACGTCGGCCTCGCCTCTCTCTAACCTTTCGACCAACTTCTTTCCCAATTTTCTGGGGTTGTCCCCCTCTTTTTTTCTTAAACTCACCTGCGAATACATTGGTTACCCTTCTCTCAAAGTCCTGATCCTGCAGGCATCAGTTATTAATAATTCTCCCGAATTTCTTGGCGGCTTGACAAGAGTCGGGACGGTTGGTTGTGTTTCTCAGTTAGGGTTTGGTGTAGGAGACTCGTCGAACCACTCGCTCAAGAGTGTGCTTCAACAGTACATGTTTATAAAGCTGAGTAAAGGGCTTTTGGGGGAAGGTGGTAGGGAGAGTCTGTCAAATGTTTTCTCATTTGTGTTTTCTCATCCCTTCCTGGGCTGAACATGTAGCTTTTGGGTACTTTTGGACACAACATATTTTCTTGATGCTGTGTATCCCTGCTCAGGGCAGTCTGCCTGTGAAAAAGAATCTTAGTCTGACATTGGTAGAAGGGAAAGTAACCCTTTTTTAAAAGATACTGTAGGGGTTAGTTAACAGAAGAGAGGAGTGAAGATTTCTTAGTGATTTTAACTTTCAAGTGGTTTGTACAGTAGTGTTCTTCGTTGACTAACTCCGAAAAAATACTTGGATTGACTTCGTGTATGGTATTTTTCTGGGGCTAGTGGGATTTTAAATATTGACTTTTACTGTTCCCCATAATGCTTATCATACTTTATACGCTTTAACTTTTGCTTTAAAAATATAGACTCTCCAGGCACCCGTAATTTCACCACTTTCATTCTATTCTTAAGTTATGTTTGCAGTATAGTATACTTGTATAAAAAGCATTTCACTGTAATTCACTGATTATTTCCTATAATTCAAGTTAGATGAGTGTGACTGAGTCACCTCTGTTTCACCTCAGCCTGGGTTTTCACATCTGCAAAAGGGATATGTAAATTATTTGAGATGGTACCCTAGTGACTGCTGAAACTTAAATTTATAACTTGAACTTGACCAAATCTTTCAATACTTCTAATCCATGTATAAGTGCATTATTATCAGGTTATTATCAGGTAGATAAATTCTGTACTAGTCATATGATGTCTCAGTAGAAGAGTGAGTGTTTCACTGTAAATAGTCAGTGTTCTTGGTATTTGTTTTCAGACTTTTCAAAAATGTGTTATTTATTGTTTGTATATTTACTTTAAAGCCATGGAGTCTCTTTTTGGTTTAAAGGGCTGTCTAACAAGATACATGGAATCCTCACTCATATACTGGGGCTTCCCTGGTGCTCAGATGGCCAAGAATCTGCCCTCTATGCGGGAGACCTGGGTTCGATCCCTGGGTTGGGAAGATTCCCTGGAGGAGGAAATGGCAACCCACTCCAGTATTCTTGCCTTGGAGAATCCCCATGGGCAGAGGAGCCTGATGGGTTGCGAAGAGTCGGACACTACTGAACGACTAAGCAGGCAGCACTCATATACTGAGTATCCCCTTGTAGTTGCTACTGAAATGTTCATTTCTGAGTTACACTATCAAATACTCCCAGTATTAAGTATTAGGAGAGCTATCAGGTGGGTGTTAACTTAGTTCATTTCATGGTATTAAGTACTGGTATTTAAATGTCATTCATCCTTAGGCAGTTTGCGTTCAGTTGGAGAAAGCATCCTTTTGCCTTGCAAATGATAAGTGTTGTTTATTTTAATGCACCTTTGATGGATTACACTTGAATGTCTACTTGGTCTAAGGGATTGTTGGAGTTCCATACTTGAAATAAACATTGTTTAGGGAACCTTAATTTCTTTTGGAGCAGTTGCTTGTTCTTTGATCTGTTTCACTGACAGCAGTTCTAAATTTGAACATGAATCTTAGAGTGAGACTGTAAAGTACAAAAATTGTCAGCAATACTTCGGTGATATTTCATCATACTATTTACTTTTTAAAGTAGTCTTGAGATTAGTCGTGTGCAAAGACAAAAACAAGTTTTTATGTGATTTGTAATAATTCTATGCAGATTTAAACAGTTGAACGAATATTTTCCAAAAGATTATTTTTAGTTAAGAAAATGGAATTGGGAAAACACATACCAAAACAGATTATCAAAATGCTTAATCTCCTTATTTGCATTTGATGAGGATTTAAAAAATTTTGTATATACAGCAGGATGTAATTGATATCAAAACTTTAAAGCTAATTTGGTTTAGCTTCAGAAACTCTAAAACTATTACCTTTCTTCCACCTGCAGCAACTTGCTTTATCTGTGTTAGGTGCTTGTCTTTCAGTCTTCCTTTATGAATTGTTTTCAGTTCTTGATTTTTACTTTCATCGTTTTGTTACCTGTTCAGTTTCTTTCATGCAGAATGATATTACAGTAGCTATGTGTTTGTTGCTCAGTAGTTTCTGACTCTTTGCAACCCCACGGACTAGCCCGCCAGGCTCCTCTGTCCGTGGAATTCTCCAGGCAAGAATACTGGAGTGGGTAGGCATTCCCTTCTCCAAGGGATCTTCCCGACCCAGGGACCAAACCCAAGTCTCCTGCATTGCAGGCGAGTGGTAAAGAATCCGCTTGAGCCACCAGGGAAACCCATTAAAGTAGTAAGCAGTTTTAAAGTTACGAGAACATACAGATTTATGTAAGTGCTTACATTTGTTGGCTTACAGGTTTTGAAAATCATTTTTGGCAAAAAGTATCAGGATTCTTTCATTTGTCTTTTTGTATGGAAAATTTTGGCTTCAGTAAAGGCATCATTTCTACACTTAAAGTACATACAAGGGTTTTCTTCACTGAGGGAGTCATTGAAAATACTTAATTTGCCCTGAATTCTGGTCACTAGAACAGTCTCCTGTCAGAGGTGGAAGGGTCCAAGAGTGGAGGGAGCCCACACTTGCCGAACTTGGTGAGTCAGCATTAACTGACACTTCTGTACAAGAGGACAAGGGTTAGGATAGTGTGATTAAAATGAGAGATGTTTTCCTAAACTAGGTACTTTGACGTTTCGCCTTTTTTGGTGGGGTTTTGTTTTCGACTACTCAAACTATTGGAGAAGAAAATTAATGACTTATAAATGCTGCCAGTGAAAAACAGGGTTAGAAAGAAAAAAGATTTTTTTTAAAAGATGAGGAAAACATATGTGACCTTTGTACTTTATTAATAATTAAAGACATCTTAAAGGCAAGTAGTTTTCACCTCCCTTTCTTTGTTACAGTGCAGCAGTCACAGTGTAACCTGATAATCTGTTGCTTTGCTCACTCCAGTTTGCATGTTTAGCTGATTGTTTTGGGCTGAGCATCCTAGGCTGTGCAGCTTGTCTGGCTTTGAGATTAATGTTGTAGATTCTTGGAAAGAGCAAATATGAGAAAGACATGTACTTATTAATCTTTGGAGATGTAAAACATTTGTAATCTCCTTGTCAGCCTTTGGGTTAAAATTAAGACTGTCATAGCATAGATGGTGTACACTATTTGATCATAAGATTTAACTTTCGTAAATGATCACACAGTTGTACAACTCAAAAGAAGTTCCACTACTGTTTTTACATCTCAGTTTAGTTTCTGCTTGCTAAACCTCACCCTTGGGAAATTGTTCAGTTTCAAGCTGAAGAGAAGGAAGGGAGAAGGAAGGGAAGTTAATTTTTTTAATTCCTTTCTAAAGTCTGCACAAGAGATTCCCTTCCCACTTTTTGAGATTTTTGAAAAATGATACTTTTAAAATGTGAAAATACTGGTTTGAGATGGATGGGGAAACTAACTGAAGAAATAGGTACACTGTATAGAGTTAATTGAATCTTTGTATTTATTGTTAGAGGTTTTGGGGTCTGAGTATTGAAGGAAAACTATTGTAAGAACACAGAGCCTTGGGATTTCCCTAGTGGACCAGTGGTTAAAACGCTTTGATTGCACTGCAGGAGGCTTGGGTTCCATCCGTTGTTGGGGAACCAAGATCCTGGATGCGTCATGGTGTGGCCAAAAAAGAAAGCAAACAAGAAACAAATAGAAGAAGAAGGAAGAGCCTCTTTTTCTGATAGTCGCTCAGTTGTGTCCGACTTTTTGCCACACCATGGACTGAAGGCTGTCAGGCTCCTCTGTGCATGGAATTTTCCAGGCAAGAATACTGGAGTGAGCTGCCATTTCATACTCCAGGGAATCTTCCTGACCCAGGGATTGAACTTTTGTCTGTTTTGTCTTTGTTGGCAGGCGGGTTCTTTACCAGTGAGCCACCTGGGACTCCTTTCTGTTAGTACTCAATCAATGTATGTGACTTTTAAAATTGTGTATTTCTATCAGTGAAGGCATGGGCACTGTATTTTCTTCAGAAGCTTTACATGGTGAAAGTTTAATAAATGGTGTTCATTACTTAAGAAAGTAGAATGAGGAAGTTGCTTGTAATTTGACTTCACTAGCGTTTGGTTGTGTTGTTTTATTTACGCACACTGAACTTTTGTTGTTCCTTGAACCCTTAAGTGTTCTTTCATTCATTGTACCTGTTCTGCTTATACCTGGAATGCTTGTCTTTCTCCCTTCCAACTAGTGAATCTGTTCTTTCTTCCTCTCTACCCCAGGCAAAGGATTGTAGTATTTTTTTTTTTTTAATATTTGTGGAATTGTTTACTTGTCTTGATCTTCAAAGGACAACTATCTAATTTATGGCATCCCTAGTATATAGCACGTGTGTGCATGCAGAGTCCCTTCAGACGTGTCCAACTCTGTGTGACCCCATGGACTGTAGCCCGCCAGGCTCCTCTGTCCTTGGGATTCTCCAGGCAAGAACACTGGAGTGGG